TGTAGGCCTATCCTTATATGAATTAATGAAAAAGTAGCCCCAGAAAAAAGAGCCCCCGAAAATTTCCCTAAAATTTGAAATGGAGCCCCCGAAATGAAAAACTTAATTTTTTGCCTGCGCACCCCCTCTGGAATCCCGCGGATTTCCGCGGGTCCTGAGTTGAGTGTATATATAATATAGGCGTGGGGTCCACGGGTTTCAAGGGGCCATAAACCCCCAAAAGCTTGGGGTTACGTTTTTCAAAGTTGGGGGGGGGGGGAGAGATCAGATCGCAGCGAGTTGAGTGTATATATAATATAGGCGTGGGGTCCACGGGTTTCAAGGGGCCATAAACCCCCGAAAGCTCGGGGGTTTTAGGCGTATAGGGTCAGATGAGCATATTTTTAATACTTTATTTGTGACACTTGCGGGTCACTAATTGGCGTGGGGTCGATACGTAGAGTTGCGTAGTGTTGCGTAACGACTACGCTGGCCTACGTTACTATATGCTGAGGGACGGAAAGGGGTACGCAAGATGAACGAAAACAATTCAACCTGTTTAATTTTTTTCGCCATCTTACGCATAACCTACGCAGGGACCATTTCCCCATTAATACGCAGCCTAATTTCTGCGTAGTCGGTAGGCCACACTACGGAACTCTACGCAGTTCCAGTGGCTTAAAGAATAACTACCGGTACAGTTGGATCGTTTTTTTAGTTTTTATATAAGGCCTAATTAAAAAAAAAACATGTTTAGCTTCCTGTTTTTTCGAAAAATGGGAAGGAGGAGGCCCTTTTTTTTAATTTTTATTTTCTTTCAAAATGGCCGCTCCGTACATTTTTCCTGACATTCAGGCTATTTTTCAAGATGGCGGCCGACAATTTTTTTTTTTCTTTTTTAAAATCAGAAATACATTTTAGCAGTGCTTTTCATGTTTTTTTCTTTCAAAAAAAAAAAAAAAAAAAAAAAATAATAATAAAAAATAGGAGGCGGCCCCCAAAAAGGAAGCAGGCGGGGACGCTGTTTTTTAAGAAAGAAAAAAAAAAAAAACTTTTCAAAAAATTTCAAAAAAAAAAATAGGAGGCGGCCCCCAAAAAGGAAGCGGGCGGGGACGCTTAACATGTATATTTCTTAATGGCCTGAATGGCAAATAAAGTTCTTGGTGGTTTTAATTTAGACAGTCTCTATATATCTATTTACGCCCCCCGCCCCCCTCTAGGACCCCGCGGATTTCCGCGGGTCCTGCTAGTCCATATAATAATACGCTAAGGCGTCGAGGGGGGTATCCGGGGTCCATTTTACGGCGCCCAAATCTCCCCTCCCGCCCGCCCCCGGGCGCCGCCGGGCGGTCCCGCGGACGGACGGGGTTTCAATCTACAGAATTGGCCACGTCCCGGCCCGGTGCGACGTCCCGGTCGTCGTCGACGTCGTCGATGCGTCCGCACGTCCCACTTATCCGTCACGAATTTCATGCTTTAGCATGAAACGGAAGTGGACGAGCGGTCTGAGGCGCCGGTTGCGTTCGATTCGCCGGCAGCACTTGCACTTTTTGCACGCACGGGTTCGATCCCGCCTCCGTCTCAAGTGGTTTTTTTTTCTTCCCCGTGTTTGTTTTGTATATTTTAGATGTTGTAATCTTTACCATTTTTTTAATTTTAATTAAAATGTAGACCTGATATTTAAAATTTAAACGAGTTGAGTCTTTATTTGATACATTTATTAGCTTATTTCATGATATCTAGGCCTAAAATCAGCGCAACAGATGTCTTCCCATATCCACGTCCAAACTTAGAGACCTATTTCCATCATTATTGCCGGGATTTTTATATAGTTTTCGTGAGTGGAGGTATGAAATCAAAGCTTATTTTGTGATTATTCTGGCCATGTTTACTCAGTTTTGATTATCATTTATTAAAGGAAAGTTTTCACAAGAAAATCAGAGAAAAACATCGTTCAGTTTCAAGAGCTCTGCCGTACGCATACAGTGTGTAGTGCAGTGCAGCTGCGCTGGCTGCTCGACTGAGCTGAGTGAGTGAGCTAGCTATTCAGAGTCGAAGAGACTATGAAGGGCCAAACATGCCAATATTCGACAACTATACGCTATATTATGTATCCATCCATGCGACTATGTCTATCCATTCATTGAAGTAGGCCTACACGTGAACACAACAGCGGGCAGGCCGAAGTGCCATAAGATCGTTGGGGGGGGGGGGGGCAAAATATTTTTTTTTGCATCTTACATGTTACAAAAAAAATCTGCATCTTACATGTTACATGCAGACCCCACAAAACATTTTTCAAAGTGTGGGGGGGGGGGGGGGTCAGGTAGATCGAAGCGAGTTGAGTGTAGGCGTGGGGTCCACGGGTTGTGGGGGGGGGGGCGAGGGGGATCAGGTAGATCGAAGCGAGTTGAGTGTAGGCATGGGGTCCACGGGTTTCAAGGGGCCATAAACCCCCGAAAGCTCGGGGGGTTTAGGCGTTTAATTAGGGTCAGATGAGCATATTTTTAATACTTTGTTTGGCGTGGGGTCAATACGTAGAGTTGCGTACTGTTGCGTACCAACTACGCTGGCCTACGTTACTATATGCTGGGGGACGGAAAGGGGTACGCAAGATGAACGAAAACAATTCAACATGTTTAATTTTTTTCGCGTACTTTCGGCGTAGAAACTTGACGCAGAAAGTACGCCTTTTTACGCAACACTACGCTACATGACTACGCAACAGTACGCTACCCTACGCCAGATTGACAAAGCAGTAAAAGCTTTCCACACAGTAAGCAACCATAAGCAAACCTGTACGCCAGCCTACGCATAACCTACGCAGGGACTATTTTCCCATTAATACGCAGCCTAATTTCTGCGTAGTCGGTACGCCACACTACGGAACTCTACGCAGTTCCAGTGGCTTAAAGAATAACTACCGGTACAGTTAGATCGTTTTTTTTTTTTTATATAAGGCCAAATTAAAAAAAAAACATGTTTAGCGTCCTGTTTTTTCGAAAAATGGGAAGGAGGCCCTTTTTTTCTTTTTTTTTTTCATTCAAAATGGCCGCTCCGTACATTTTCCCTGACATTCAGGCTATTTTTCAAGATGGCGGCCGACAATTTTTTCTTTTTCTTTTTTACAATCAGAAATACATTTTAGCAGTGCTTTTCATGTTTTTTTTCTTTCAAAAAAAAAAAAAATAAAAAAAAAAATAAAATAAAAATAAAAATAAAAATAGGAGGCGGCCCCCAAAAAGGAAGCAGGCGGGAACGCTGTTTTTTTTCTTTCAAAAAAAAAAAAAAATAAATAAATAAAATATTTTTAAAAAAAGCGGGCGGGGACGCTAAACATGTATATTTTTTTAATGGCCTGAATGGCAAATAAAGTTCTTGGTGGTTTTAATTTAGACAGTCTCTATATATCTATTTACACCCCCCGTCCCCCTCTAGAATCCCGCGGATTTCCGCGGGTCCTGCTAGTCTATATAATAATACTCTAAGGCGTCGAGGGGGGTATCCGGGGTCCATTTTACAGCGCCCAAATCTCCCCTCCCGCCCGCCCCCGGTCGCCGCCGGGCGGTCCCGCGGACGGACGGCGTTTTAATCTACCCATTTGGCCACGTCCCCGTTCGAACTTCGGTCGTGGTCGCCGTCGACGTCGATAAAGGCGGTTTCGGGGTCCGGGGAGGACGGGCGGACGAGGGCACGGCGGGCGTCGCGGATTGCAAGGAGGCGACGAACCCGCGACAGCGAGTCGGCAAGGCGTGCATCCGCCCTCTGTGCAATCAACAAAGAGACACACAGCAGACGAGAATCTACTCTGTCAGTGGATGTAGCACATCACGTAGTAACAATGGAGCGGGCTTACTCCGTGTGAGGCATCTTCCTATGGTAGGCCATGCGTGTACGTGTATTATGCGATGATTCTATGCTCACTTCACACACACAGTAGTTTCGACGATTTTCGTTTGGATTTTGCCCATTAATGTGACCTCAAAGTGAGTGAACAGAGTTTAATATTTTGAATTTAAATCAGTCAAGTCTTTATTTGATATTTATTAGCTTATTTCATGATGTTTTTGTGTCATTGTAATGGCCATGATCAGACGTTCAATTTCAGAATAAGCTTGAATGTTATTAACGGATTGATTTCGGTCATCAACAGGACCGGAGCGGGGCGCTGGCACTGCAGCTTGGTGTTGGCGCTGGCACGAGTGTTGCGCTGGCACGAGTGTTTGCAAGGGGTGACCATTTAGGCGTACGTGTATGTAATTATGTGTCTGCATGTTTCTCTGAGGGGTTACCCTTGGTAAATGAACATGTTTTTGTTTATAATAATATGGGTTGTGCCATATCTAAAAATATGCACTACTTATGAGTTATAGTTTGTCATAGACTAGATCTAGATCTACTTGAAATTAAATGGTCATAATTTATGGATAAGAGTAAGATAACACGCGTCAGTGGCATGTTAGGGGGTCAGTTGACAGTTTCTACGTCAACGTACATGGGTTATATATTAACGGATTTATTTATTTTAATCGGAAGGAATTCGGCAATTCTGATCATATGCACGTAGAGTCTCCGCTGCGCGGTCACAGAAATTTAAGGTAGGGTCTATGCATGAAATTTGAAGGCTTTAGAATATTCTTCCCCAGAACTCTGGGGCTTAAAACCGGCCGTAATTGCAGCAGATGCTGTATTTTCTGAGCTGAAGTGAATTTTTATTTTTAAAAATTGAACTGGTTGATATATTTCATTGACATTTCTTACAGTTATTCGGACAATGATCCCGGTCAACTTGATACCTCATTCATGAATAACGATACTTCAATCATGAATAACGGAGCTGTATTTCTTGCGTACGCGCAGAAAATAACCGAAAAGAAGCTCACCACGCAAACACAGAAATTTATGAATATCAATCAATATTTTTATTAAAATATAATATTTTAAATTTAAATCAGTCAAGTCTTAATTTGATATTTATTAGCTTATTTCATTATGACTAATGTATGATGAACCCATTGCATGTACCACCTGTAGCAGCGCCCCATGATGTGTGGCTGAGATGAATCCCTCCTACGTACCATCTCTATCAGTATCAGCGCCCCAAGGAAGTGCAAGTAGCAAAGTGAGAGCAATGCAGGTTATTTTAAAAATATTTAATTTTTATTATGTATTTAATGAATAATAATAATGATTAGTAGTAATGAATTTGTCTTCCACAGCGCAACAAAATCACTTCAATCAATTATTAGTAAATAATAAATAGATTTGAGGTATTTGTTCTGTCATCAATATGTTCCCTTTTAGCTGGACGATACAATCTCATAAAATGCAATGAGAGTGCACATATAGAGGATCCTTGATAACTTTGCAGAAAAAATATGAATGTTGTTTTCTTGCGTACGCGCAGAAAATGACCGAAAAGAAGCTCACCACGCAAACACAGAAATTTATGAATATCAATCAATATTTTTTATTAAAATATAATATTTTAAATTTAAATCAGTCAAGTCTTAATTTGATATTTATTAGCTTATTTCATGATGAAATCAATTTTAAATACAATTGTAAATAAAATTGTTATATATCTCTTTTCAGACTAATGTATGATGAACCCATCGCATGTACCACATGTAGCAGCGCCCCATGGATGTGTGGCTGAGATGAATCCCTCCTACGTACCATCTCTATCAGTATCAGTATCAGTATCTCTCGCGTAAATCAGAGCACATAACTCCAATATTGAACTCACTACATTGGCTTAAAATTCACCACCGCATATCCTTCAAATTCTTCTCCTGTGCTACAAAGCTATCAATGGCTTAGCCCCCTCTTACCTTTCCGATCTCATATCCTTACGTTCCCGTACGTCGTCACGAACACTTCGTTCATCTTCCACATTACTGTTAACACCTGGACCCCGCACTAACACCCGGTATGGTGACCGCGCCTTTTCAGTTATTGCCCCCGCTCTCTGGAACAAACTGCCCGCCTTTATTCACTGCGCCCCCTCTGTATCTCAATTCAAATCTCTACTCAAAACCTATCTTTTCAAATTGTAAATTGCAGTTGTGCGTCGGTCAATGGAGGTGCGCACCATATTTGTCTTTATTTAGTTGATTGCCACTGTTTTTCTTACCTTATCTATGTTACTTTTGTATTTTTGCTTTTTCTTCTAATTTAATTCTACGGGTTATAGTCTTCTCTTAATCAGAACACTGTGCGCTTAGAAACATCAGTATTAAGCGCCTAATAAATGTTATGTATTATTATTTATTATTAGTATCAGCGCCCCAAGGAAGTGCAAGTAGCTAAGTGAGAGCAATGCAGGTTATTTTTAAAAATATTTAATTTTTATTATGTATTTAATGAATAATAATGATTAGTAGTAATGAATTTGTCTTCCACACCGCAACAAAATCACTTCAATCAATTATTAGTAAATAATAAATAGATTTGAGGTATTTGTTCTGTCATCATTATGTTCCCTTTTAGCTGGACGATACAATCTCATAAAATGCAATGAGAGTGCACATATAGAGGATCCTTGATAACTTTGCAGAAAAAATATGAATGTTGTTTTCTTGCGTACGCGCAGAAAATGACCGAAAAGAAGCTCACCACGCAAACACAGAAATTTATGAATATCAATCAATATTTTTTATTAAAATATAATATTTTAAATTTAAATCAGTCAAGTCTTAATTTGATATTTATTAGCTTATTTCATGAGGAAATCAATTTTAAATACAATTGTAAATAAAATTGTTATATATCTCTTATCAGACTAATGTATGATGAACCCATCGCATGTACCACCTGTAGCAGCGCCCCATGGATGTGTGGCTGAGATGAATCCCTCCCATGTACCATCTCTATCAGTATCAGCGCCATCGCATGTACCACCTGTAGCAGCGCCCCATGATGTGTGGCTGAGATGAATCCCTCCTACGTACCATCTCTATCAGTATCAGCGCCCCAAGGAAGTGCAAGTAGCAAAGTGAGAGCAATGCAGGTTATTTTTTAAAATATTTAATTTTTATTATGTATTTAATGAATAATAATAATGATTAGTAGTAATGAATTTGTCTTCCACAGCGCAACAAAATAACTTCAATCAATAATTAGTAAATAATAAATAGATTTGAGGTATTTGTTCTGTCATCATTATGTTCCCTTTTAGCTGGACGATACAATCTCATAAAATGCAATGAGAGTGCACATATAGAGGATCCTTGATAACTTTGCAGAAAAAATATGAATGTGGTTTCATGCATGGGAGGTTGATATGTACAGTCCTAATTGAAAAAGTAATCTATCTCTTCCCATTATCTCATTGTTTTAACAGAAAAGAAAGAGGAGGAAGTATGTAATTATGTGTCTGCATATATTTCCAAGTATGGAGAACATCAAAGCGTCTCTTTTAAGTTAATTGAATCATCCATGCAAAATATCTTTTTGATGATAACTTTAATAAATGGATCATGTTATTTTAATAAAGTATGTTAAGCCAAATTAAAAAATTGTATTCATGTTTTCATTTGGAGCAAGTTTACATAAGTATGTTGTATTTTTTTAATTATTGATAGGCTCTTTGAAAATCAATTTCATTTATAATCTACTATCATGTCAGCATTGTGATCCGAGAAATGAGAGAAATTAAGCAAAAGATGGAAAATATGTGAATACATCAATTAATATATTATTTTCAGTGTAGAACTAAATTAACTTAGTAATGTGTGAAAAAAGGAAATGTGAGAATGGGAGTGAAATGGAATGGTATTGCTAGATACTAGAGAGAATGGGAAAGCGAAAGGGAGAAAATGGATAGGAACAATTGAAGACAATAATCATAAATAACGAAAGTGAAAACGAAATTAAATTATAAATTATCTGCAACAAATTTTAATTACAAATATCTGATCTCACTTTTTTCTTCCAATTTTCAATTTTTATTACATGGTACAGATAAAAAAAAATAATCAAAACGCTACATTAAACGACAAAGAAAAGGTTTATATCTTTACAAGTATAAAATATAAATAAAAAGAGAAGAAAATGGAATAATAAATAAAAAGTAATCATATACAAGAAAGAGAAATAAAAATGAAAATAAAAGAAGACAAAAATGTTCCAAAGAAAAAAAAGGATGTTAAATTATATAAAAATTAATTAATTTTGTTTGTATTTAAATCAATATTATTTTCGAGAGCGCATATATCTATTAACATTTTACAGCCCCCCCCCCCCAACCCCCTATAATCCCGTGGATATTTCAATGTGAATACCAACAAGTTAGACTTATGGTGTCCTCAAAATGGCAAATAAAGTTGGGTAGGAACTAATGGTTTCCTCTAATTTGCAAATACAATTCTTGGTGGTTTTAATTTATATATCTATTACACCCTACCCCCCCCCCCCCCCTAGGTATTCCGCGGGTCCTGCCCCCAAAAAGGAAGCGGGCGGGGACGCTAAACAAGTATATTTTTTAATGGCTTGAATGGCAAATAAAGTTCTTGATGGTTTTAATTTAAAAAGTCTCTATATATCTATTTACACCCCCCGCCCCCCTCTAGAATCCCGGCCGTAATTGCAGCAGATGCTGTATATTCTGAGCTGAAGTGAATTTTAATTTTTTTAAATTGAACCGGTTGATATATTTCATTGACGTTTCTTACAGGTATTAACCGAAAAGAAGCTCGCCACGCAAACACAGAATGGCTGCCACAGCAAAGAGCGCCCGTTTAACGGGCGCAAACAGCTAGTCTATATAATAATACTCTAAGGCGTCGAGGGGGGTATCTGGGGTCCATTTTACAGCGCCCAAATCTCCCCTCCCGCCCGCCCCCGGTCGCCGCCGGGCGGTCCCGCGGACGGACGACGTTTTAATCTACCCATTTGGCCACGTCCCCGTTCGATCTTCGGTCGCGGTCGCCGTCGACGTCGATAAAGGCGGTTTCGGGGTCCCGGGGAGGACGGGCGGACGAGGGCACGGCGGGCGTCGCGGATTGCAAGGAGGCGACGAACCCGCGAGAGCGAGTCGGCAAGGCGTGCATCCGCCCTCTGTGCAATCAACAAAGAGACACACAGCGGACGAGAATCTACTCTGTCAATGGATGTAGCACATCACGTAGTAACGGTTGTGGCTTACCCCGAGTTTAGGCCTCTTGCTATAGGATACGCTTTGGAGCATGTAAGAGAAATACACATTAACAGATGACTCACCCGGGTGAGGGGATGTAAGAAATGCACGCTCTCACGGGTTGGGCTTACCCGTGTTATGCGTCTTTTTATATGATATGCTTTGTACTAGGCCAGCCGGATCTGCTGCGTGTACGAACGTACGTGTATAATGTATGCGATGATTCTACGCTCACCGTCACACGCACAGCTCAGTCGCTTCGTCTTTGATTCTATGATGATTGCCGTGATTTATATATAGTTTACGTGAATAGAGGTATGCAAGCAGGGTTACTTTGGTATTATCCTGTTCATGTTTACTGAATTTTGAAAATCATTCTTCAAAGTAAAGTTTTCACAAGAAATTCATCGTAACTGACAGTTCAGTTGCAAGCTAGCTGCCATGAGGCACGGGCAGTGCAGTGCGCCACTGCTGTCGAGCACTGTCGGAACTGTGACTGTGTGTGAGGTGAGCTGAGCTGAGCTGAGCTATTCTCGACAACATTTTGAAATTGCTCTTATTGCCCCTATATTTCAATATAGTTTCGTGACTAGATCTATAGAGGTATGAAACCTGAGCTTAGATTGTGATTATTCTGTCCATGTATAGTTGTATGCTAAATTTCGATAATCATTTTTATTTATTACTAGAGTCTGCGCTGCGCGGTCACAGAAATTTAAGGTATGCATGAAGTTTGAAGGCTTTAGAATATTAGTAGAAATAGGATGTGATGTAGTAGAAATAGGATGTGATGTTTAATGCAAAAAAATTAATCAGTAATCATAGCTATCTCTAGCCCTTTTCTTCCCCAGAACTCTGGGGCTTAAAACCGGCCGTAATTGCAGCAGATGCTGTATTTTCTGAGCTGAAGTGAATTTTTATTTTTTTAAATTGAACCGGTTGATATATTTCATTGACGTTTCTTACAGGTATTCGGACAATGATCCCGGTCAACTTGATACCTCATTCATGAATAACGGAGCTGTATTTCTTGCGTACGCGAAGAAAATGACCGAAAAGAAGCTCGCCACGCAAACACAGAAATTTATGAATATCAATCAATATTTTTAATTAAAATAAAATATTTTAAATTTAAATCAGTCAAGTCTTTATTTGATATTTATTAGCTTATTTTTAATTAAAATATAATATTTTAAATTTAAATCAGTCAAGTCTTAATTTGATATTTAGTAGCTTATTTCATTGATTACGGAAGCTAAAGGCTGAAAAGTTTGATGCCGCTGACGAACGCAAAATGGCTGCCACAGCAAAGAGCGCCCGTTTAACGGGCGCAAACAGCTAGTCTATAATAGTAATACGCTAAGGCTCCGCGGGGGGGCATGACGTCTCCGTCGGCCTTTGTATTCTATTGTTTTTTAATGAGATCGCCGACCCAAGTTGGTGCGGCTATCTCCTCCTGAACCCTCCCCTCGGGGTACCCGTGCCCGGTGCCATCGTCCGCGGGAGAGTCTACTCTAGCGAATTGGCTATACTCCGCCCGAGGTCCTCCTCCGTGTCGACGTCCAGGGCGAAAACAGACGCGACATGCATAATGCAGGATATGCGTGACGACAGAGATACCTCATGGATATTCAACATTGCATCCGTAGACACACGACAGACGACGAGCAACTCACATTAAGTTGCGTATTAAATGCACGATGCACACGGTCGGGCTTACCCGAGTAAAGCATCTTTCTATAGGATATCCTTTGTAGTAGCTGCACAAGCCACAGATCGAGCTAGAGATACACACGAAGCTTCGATCCCGTCCACGTCCAAACTTAGAGACCTATTTCCATCATGATTGCCGCGATTTTGATATAGTTTTCGTGAATGGAGGTATGAAATCAAAGCTTATTTTGTGATTATACTACGGCCATATAGTCTAGACCTATACTAAATTTTTATTATCATTTTCTAAAGGAAAGTTTTCACAAGAAAACCATTGGACTGACAGTTTAGTCGCAAGCTGCCTTCATACAGTGCAGGGCTTCTGTTCAGTGTGTGTGAGTTGAGACGAGCTTGCAGGAAGCTCCAACACCGGCACCGAGCACCGCAGGCGTCCGACGCCTGCGGCGCCGGTGTTCGAGCTATGGAGTTACGCTGTAGTGTGTGTGAGTTAAGCTGAGCTGAGCTCGAGTCGAAGAGATTTGACACTTTGAAATTGTTATCTGTTGGTTTGCATCATTATTGCCGCGATTTCAATATAGTTTCGTGAATAGATTTACGAAACCTGAGCTTAGAATTAGTAAAAGTATTACTCATGTCTACGTTTTTAAACGACTACCTGATTTTCTTGTGAAAATTTTACTTTGAAGAATGATTATCGAAATTCATGGTCAGAAATAATCACAATCTAGGGTCTATTATGTTACAGTTCTTGCATCAAATCAATGCATGAAAACTTAGTTATTGAACTAGATTTTTTTTTTTTTTTTTTAAATAGGCAATTATGAAGTAGGTAGCCTGAAACCTGAGCCTTCTAAACAAATCTCAACAAAGTGAAGGCCTATATCCTTTGATGAATTAATGAAAAAGTAGCCCCAGAAAAAAGAGCCCCCGAAAGTTGAAAAAAGTAGCCCACGAAAATTTTTCCAAAAATTTGAAATAGAGCCCCCGAAATGAAAATCTTAATCTTCTGCCTGCGCCCCCCCCCCCCCTCTAGAATCCCGCGATTTCCGCGGGTCCTGAGTTGAGTGTATATATAATATAGGCGTGGGGTCCCCGGGTTTCAAGGGGCCATAAACCCCAAAAAGCTCAGGGGTTACGTTCTTCAAAGTTGGTGGGGGGGGGGGGGAGAGATCAGATTGCAGCGAGTTGAGTGTATAGGCGTGGGGTCCACGGGTTTCAAGGGTCCATAAACCCCCGAAAGCTCGGGGGTTTTAGGCGTTTAATTAGGGTCAGATGAGCATATTTTTAATACCTTATTTGTGACACTTGCGGGTCACTAATTGGCGTGGGGTCAATACGAGAGTTGCATAGTGTTGCGTACCAACTATGCTGGCCTACATTACTATATGCTGAGGGACGGAACTGGGTACGCAAGATGAACGAAAACAATTCAACATGTTTAATTTTTTTCGCGTACTTTCGGCGTAGAAACTTGACGTAGAAAGTACGCCTTTTTACATACGCAACACTACGCTACATGCCTACGCCAGATCGACAAAGCAGTAAAAGCTTTCCACACAGTAAGCAACCATAAGCAAACCTGTACGCCAGCCTACGCATAACCTACGCAGGGACTATTTTCTCATTAATACGTAGCCTAATTTCTGCGTAGTCGGTACGCCACACTACGGAACTCTACGCAGTTCCAGTGGCTTGAAGAATAACTAC